TGTTGTATATTACAACTTTGGTATAATTGCTTATTGCAGCCATATTTATTTTTGTTGTTTTGGGGATTTTCTACATAGACAATGAGGTTATCTGTAAACAAAGACAGTTTTCTTTCTTTCTTTCCAATCCGTATACCTATTATTTCCTTTTCTTGTTTCATTAGCTAGGACTTCAAGAGGGGGGCTATCTTTGTTTCTGATTTTAGCAGGAAAAGATCTAGTTTTTCACTCTTAAGTGTGATGTTAGCTGTAATTGTTTTTATAGATGTTCTTTATCAAGTTAAGGAAATTTCCCTTAGGGCATTTATCATGAATGAGTGTTGGAGTTTGTCATGTTTTTTGTGCATCTAATTGATATGATTTTTCTTTTTTAGACTATTGATGTGATGGATTACATTAGTTGATTTTCAGATATTGAATCAGCCTTGCATACCTGGAATGCATTCCACTTGGTCATAGTGCATAATTCTTTTTATACATTGTTGGGTTCAATTTGATAATATTTTGTTGAGGATTTTTACATCTGTGTTTATGAGAGATACTGATCTGTAAATTTTCTTTTTTGTAATGTCTTTGGTTTTGGTATTAAGGTGATTCTGGCCTCATAGAATGAGTTAGGAAGCATTTCCTCCACTTCCATTTTCTAGATGATTGAGGAGAATTGGTGTAATTTCTTCTTCAAATGTTTGATAGAATTCACCAGTGAACCCATCTGAGCTTGGTGTTTTTTTTTGGAAGGGTATTAAATACTGATTCAATTTTTAATAGATATAGGCCTATTCAGATGATCTGTTTCTCCTTGCAAGAGTTTTGGTAGATTGTGTCTGTCAAGGAATTGGTCCATTTCATCTTGGTTATCAAATTTATAGACACGGAGTTCATAATATTTCCTTATTATTTGAATGTCCATGTGATCAGTAGTGATCACTCTTTCATTTCTGTTATCAGTAATTTCTTTTTTATTTTTTTATCTTTCTCAGAAATTTTAAATTTCTCTTTTCTCTTTTTCCTTTGTTAACCTGGCTAAAAGTTTATCAATCTTTTCAAACAACTGGCATATTTTTTCTTCAGTTTTTTATTCTCATGGGAAGAAACTTTAAAAAATTTCTACAGAGCATTCTGCACAGTTCTATAAGTTGAAAGAATTATTCTGAGTTGTTTTAACAAAACCCAAACTTATTCAATACAGGCTGGTGCAAAAGTAATTGTGGTTTTGGATGTGAATTTTAAATCATTATAACGAGGCTCAAACACATTTTTATTACTCAAAATAGAAACCATTACAATCAACACATTTTTGCCAATGAGAAATAAGTTTGTTTGTTCCTGTAGTGTAAAAATGCATGCTTCAGGACTTGATGAACTCTTGTAAAGCATTTTCTGCATCCTGCTGGTTGTGGAAGCGTTTTCCCTGCAAAAAGTTGTTGAGATGCTTGAAGAAGTGGTAGTTGGTTGGCGAGAGGTTAGGTGAACATGGCGGATCAGGCAAAAATCCGTAGCCCGATTCGTTCAACTTTTGAACATTGGTTGTGTGGTCAGGTGTCGTCTTGGAGAAGAATTGGGCCCTTTCTGTTGACCAGTGCTGGCTGCAAGTGTTGCAGTTTTCAGTGCATCTCATTGATTTGCTGAGCATACTTCTCAGATGTAATGATTTCACCGGGATTCAGAAAGCTTTAAAGGATCAGACTGGCAGCAGACCAGCAAACAGTGACCATGACCTTTTTTGGTGCAAGTTTGGCTTTGGGAAGTGCTTTGGAGTAGCTTCTCGGTCCAGCCACTGAGCTGGTCATTGCCAGTTGTCATATAAAATCCACTTTTCCTCACACATCACAATCCAATCAAGAAATGGTTTGTTGTAGTTGCGTACAATAGCAGAAGATGACACTTCAAAAAAACGATTTTTTGACTTTTGGTCAGCTCATGAAGCACCCACTTATTGAGCTTTTCACCTTTCTAATTTGCTTCAAATACCAAGTGACCATAGAATGGTCAACCTTGAATTCTTTGGCAGCTTCTCATGTAGTTTGTAAGAGGATCAGCTTCGATGGTTGCTCTCAATTGGTCGTTGTCCACTTCCAGTGGCCGGCCACTGCGCTTCTCATCTTCAGTCTCCTTTGCAAAACTTCTTGAACCACTAGTGCACTGTGTGTTCCTTAGCAGTTCCTGGGCCAAATGCATTATGGATGTTACAAGTTGTCTCCACTGCTTTACGACTCATTTTGAACTCAAATAAGAAAATCACTGGAATTTGGTTTTTGTCTAACATCATTTCCATAGTCTAAAATAAATATAAAATAAACAGCAAGTAATAAGTCATTAGCAAAAAAAAGTAAAGCAAGAACTGTGCATTAAAATGATGCGTAACATAACCACATTTATTTAAGAATATATTCCAATTTCAAACAGCAAATTTCAACAATGCTAAAACCCACAGTTACTTTTGCACTAACCTAATAATTTCTGACCCTTTTATTTTTCTTTGTAGGTATAAATAGAACCAGATTTTTCTTACATTATTTTTTCAGCCTTTATTTTCCTTTGAAGGTTAACTGATAGAGTTTTAAAGTAACTGATAAATTGTTTCAGAGAGAAAAGTTAAAAGGGAAAGGATTTACTGATGCAGCAGAATCCTTGATAAGCCAAATTAATAAGAGATACAAACCAAAAGATGACATAAAGTCTACAAGAAAATTAAAGGAGTCTTTGATTGACAGGTATGTTTTTAAATTTTATACATGTATATTTTTCTGACAGATACAACTAAATTATTTTACACAGCTTAAAAAAGGTTTTAAACATAGGTTCAAATAATATAATTTTTCAGTAGAAAACACATGGTTACTTATTTTATAAATAGCTGTTTATACAAGAAGGAAACTAAATTTGAAATTTGTCATTCTAGGGTGTAGTTACATTTTATAAAGTATCA